TTAATCAAGTTATTAAACTTTTAGCATCTCTTTGTTATTTTAATGGAATTTTTCTTTATTCTCAGTCCCTTACTATGTGAAGGTTAGCTCTTAGCAGTAGTATAAAAGATGTTTTCACTGAGGTTTATTGTGAAGAGCCCTTATCATAATACCTTGAATATATATGATCTCTAACTCATTAACATTGGAAACCTAGGAAGTAGCAATCAACTCTGGATTATGCAGATCATCTTAATTATTAAAAATCCCATTTCTAATAGACTTCTGGATTCACCTTAGTCTGAACTATTCAACCGGGTACCTGCCCCAGGTAAAATAAAAAAAAACAAAGGTGGTACATGAATCTAGTGATTAGGAGAAAAGACGATTGCATTCCAGGACTGAAAAAAAACCTTTTTTTTTTTTTTTTAGTTTTTATTTTATTTGATCACAGATCAGCCATTTATCAGACAAGCTTGGGTTACTTAGGATAAGTTCATGTTCATGGTCATTACAGAATCAGATAAAGAAAGAAAATGCAAAAAGCCTTTTTACCCTAGCCTCCACTAATCCTGGTACGCTTTTAGAGGAGAGTCCAGGTTTGGTGTATATCCTAGGCAGATCTCTTCTTATGAGCTTACATAGATTTAGGTTTATATGCAATACATATTTTGTCTTGTTAACATAAGTTAACCACATATCATATATGTGTTCTGTAACTTGTTCCTTCTCTTGCTCCTCACTTTAACTGCCATGGAGATTTCATCTGTCATTTTCAATTATTTGGTACATAGTCAAATTATCAAAAATAAAGCATTAAAGCCTTTCAGGTGCCAATATAATGTCAGCTTTAATGTTGTTGTTGTTATGTGCCATTGAGTCGACCCGACTCATAGTGACCCCTCCTTGGGTTTCCGAGGCAGTATCACTACGGAAGTAGGATTGCCCGACCTTCCTTCTGAGGAGTGGCTGGTGGGTTTGAACCGCCAGCCTTCTGGTTAGCAGTCAAGTGCCTTAGGCACTAAGCTACCAGAGCTCCCCGTCAGCTTTAATAGCTAAACTCAATTTATTTAGAGGACAGCACTTCAGTATTTACTTATATTTTAGATACATTGCTAATAAGTTCTATCTGGTTTCCTGGCCTATAACAAATAATAAGGGGGAAAGAAAGCAGGTAGCAAGAGAAAACAGTTGACAAAAGTATTAAAAATGAACATAAAATCTAAAAATCTTTTAATGACTTGGAGTATTTACTGTAGCAGCAACATTCATCAGCACTTTGTACCTCAGGGACAGTCGTCAATCACTATTATTTTTAACTCCTATCCTCAGTTTGTCATTGTTTCATTGAATTTTATGTGTAATTATTGGCTTTCTGATGATGGAACTTTCTGTTTCTCTTTATACTTACAATTTTTATTCTGATCTGGCTAAACTTGTAAAAAAAATATATGTATTTTTTAGATTTTGAATGCAGACTTGAATGAGAAGTAACATCCTATTTGGCTCACAATTGTGGGCATCTGGAGCATTTCTCTATTTCTTCCTAATTTGCTTGTTCAAATGTGTGGCCTGTAAGTAGTTTCTATAGATAGATGCCATTTAAAAGGCACATATCTTTATTTATCAGCTAGCTGTTTTGGTGCATAGCTAGAGATACATAAAAAAGTTTATGGCTAAAATGTCTTAAGCCTTTGCCTTTCACATGAGAGGAAATTGCATGGTACTAGGATGAAGCTAATTTGTACCCTCCTTTGAACACCCTGGAGGAGCCCTGGTGGCACAGTGGTGAAAGCATTTGGCTGCTAACCTAAAGGTCATCAGTTCAAACCTACTAGTCACTACTTGGGAGAAAGGTGAGGCAATCTTCTTTCATAAAGATTTACACCCTTGGAAAGCCTTATGAAGCAGTTCTACCCTGCCCTGAAGGGTCACTATGAGTCAGAATCAACTTCATGGCAGTGGTTTGGTTTGGTTTGGTTTAAACAGTCTGAGGAAATGTACTGCCTTTATTAGCCAAGAAGCAAAGCAGTACTTTTTTCCTCCACAGTTATTTCCTCCACAGTATTTATACAAAGTAGTTAAGTATTTTAACTGGTTATTGATAAAGAATGGGAAAAAAAGCATCATTAAAATATTAATTTGCTATTAACATTCTAAAACCTGTGGTTTCCCAAATACCACATATGGAAGCATGAATGGATGTTGTATGTAGAAGAGAGGTGATGTAGTTACCTCCAGACATACTTGAATTTTCAGATGTGGTTGTCCTATCCTGCTCTTTCCCTATGGAAATATGGATTCTTTCTTTTTCCCTTTTGATATTTCTTGTAATGTTCATCTCTTTTTCTCTTCTTTTAAAAAACTAGGTCTTATTTATAGGAAAACTGTTAGCAATTTCTGTTTTTTGAAAAATAGTTATTGCCTATATCCTCCTAGAGTGGAAAGATCTCTAATATTTCTCTATCACATAACTTCGAAACTATGGTTATATTCTTTCTCACAAGATAAAATAGAACTTAAAAAAAATTGTCTGTCTGAATGTCTATTAAGTTTCCAACATATGGTTGTGCTTTGGGAGTTGCAAAGTGTGTGAATTTATGATTATGAATGTTTATTTTTAACAGAGTTAAATACTGAATATGGTCTACTTTATACTGTGTTCCTATAATATTTTAAAGGTCAGTGTGGCCTTCTGGTTATATCTTTAAAGAAAGGAATTTTGATGGCTTGGACATGAGAAAAATCTCTACGTTTTACAAGGGTAAAATCGGGTTTAATTAAAAAGTACGTTTTAGGGATTGCACTAAAGTTCGAATAGAAGTATGTTCCTGTTACTGCAATGTATAGTTTGATGTGTTGTTAGGTGCCATTGAGTCAGACCCGACTCATAGCGAGCCCTCCTTGAGTTTCCAAGGCAGTATCACTAATGGAAGTAGATTGCCCCATCTTCTTTCTGAGGAGTGGCTGGTGGATTTGAACCGCCAGCCTTCTGGTTAGCAGTCAAGTGCCTTAGGCACTATGCTACCAGAGCTCCATAATGTACAGTTTAGCATTCTGTAATTTTTTTTGGATTTTTATTGTGTAAATTATGTGTTCTAATTTGCTATAGTCTTCAGATTTTTCTGATGTGACCCATTATAGGGCAGATGTGTATGTATATGTGTATATATGTGTATGTGTGTGTGTGTGTATATATGTATATAATTTTTTTTTTTGTAGTATTGCTTTGAGAAACAGCTTGATCCACGTTACAAGTTAACATTCACTTGGAATTAACTGTCATAAATTTAACTGCTTGAGAAAATAGATTGGGCTATCTCAGGTAAATTAGAGAAAAGATTGAGGATTATTCTTTAAATACATAAATGTACTATGGTGGAAAGCTCTCAGTGAAAATAACATATTTAAGTTTCTAGGAGATTAGAACAAATTGATATCCAGGGTAATCAGGTAATATATTTTCAAGGAAAATAGTTAAAGGTGATTAAAACGAATATTAACAATGTCAAGGGATATATTATATCTAGAGCACATAGAGGAGCTCTGTTAGAATAGTACCTAAGGCACTTGACTGCTAACCAGAAGGCTGGCGGTTCAAACCCACCAGTCACTCCTCAGAAGGAAGGTTGGGCAATCTACTTCCGTAGTGATACCGCCTCAGAAACCCAAGGAGGGGTCGCTATGAGTCAGAGCTGACTCAATGGCACATAACAACAACAACAACAACAGAGCACATAAAGGAGCTCTAGTGGCGTAGTGCCTAAGGCACTTGACTGCTAACCAGAAGGCTGGTGGTTCAAACCCACCAGCCACTCCTTGAAAGGAAGGTTGGGCAATCTACTTCCATAGTGATACTGCCTCAGAAACCCAAGGAGGGGTCGCTATGAGTCAGATCCAACTCGACGGCAGTGAGCTTTTTGAGTTTTGAGAATACATAAGGTTACAAGGTCCAAAAAAGGCAAAAACTTGTAACACATCCCTTTTTCCTGAAGTGTTCTCCATGATTCTGACAAAGTAAGAAAGAGTTTATTTTAACTTACTGGGCATCGTGTGAGTATTGATACTTTCTCTCTCTAGACATCAGCAGCCTTATACTTAGCATGATGACTGGAATGGTACTTGCTCAATAACTACTTCTTGAATGAATACTCAGGTGATCTGTAATAGAACTCATCTTCTAGTAGATGAAGTGATTAGTTTTGAAGGTCTCTTCTGGTTAATTGATATGAATTCTGTCTGTGTCTCGTTAGGTGTATGTGAAGATGGAGCCTAGTCTGTGCGTGTGTGTGTGTGTGCATGTGTCTTACCAGAGAGAGCATGTTTTTCTGTGTTGATTTTTTTTTTCCCAATAGATTGGCATAGGAAGTGCAAAAATACAGCTATATTAACCGAAGACACATGATAACAGAGTTAAGCCATTGAAATTATTGAGTGGATGTTATGTTACTACCCTGTGGCCATGGTGTTCAGATGTTTCTCATAAATTACTGCATAGACAGCTGAACCAATCAAGGGATTTTAGGAAGCTAAAAATCGATTAAATTATTGATTTGTTATAGCCTTGGACATAAATTCTTAAACTGGCTAAGTATAAGATTTACTATTAAGTGTATAAAGTAAAAGTAAAAAAAACCAAAAACCTACCCAATTTTCTTCCTTAACTAGTTTTTGCTTTCTTCTGAACTGTAGTATTTTTGAAACTTGAGAAAAACCATTTGCCTAGCACAGCTGTTAACTTCCTACAACTGAAATGCTTTCCATTCCCTTTAAAATAGCCCTTGTGAAGCAGAATGTAGACCACATGCATCATCGAAACCAAAAAAGTTTGCTGAGACTACTCCTATCATTTGCCCTAGGGTCCGGAATCTTCACATTCCAGGCCCGGCTCCAACTGTTCCGATTTAGTTACCCCGCTGGGATTGGCTGTGCCACCTACTCTTTTCTCCACCCCTTAACTTTCACTGGGAGAAAGCTCTTGAGCCAGAGATTAAATGTAAGTGCTGTCACCAGGCTTTCTGAGTGCAGCTGGCACCATGGGTGCGCTCCAGAGCAACTTCTGTTTGCTCTGAGCCCCCGGCCCTGCCTCCCCTTTCACCATGTTTCCTCTGGCAAGATCTTAATGTAGCAATTCAAGAAGATTTCTCCTAAACAACATTATTCTGAAGTGTATTGCCTCTTGATTGCTGGAAAAGAATCTTAAATTTATTTCAAAAGTAACTTAAGAGCAAATTTATTAAAAGTGATGAAAGGAGCATTAGATTTGATTAACACTAATTTTTCACTCTACAAAAGTCTGCATTGTCTTTCAGAGGAAACTATAAGAAATCTGGTGAGTGTACCATGCCAGTGGGGAGAATTGAATGTCCTTCATCTCCCTCTTTCCCTAGGGACAGTAGTCATGAGTGCCGAGTGTGCGGGGTCACAGAAGTGGGTCTCTCAGCATATGCAAAACACATTTCTGGCCAGTTGCACAAAGACAAGGTGGATGCTCAGGAAAGAGAAGATGATGGAAAGGAAGAGGAAGAGGAAGAAGATTATTTTGACAAGGAACTCGTTCAGCTAATAAAACAAAGGAAAGAACAAAGTCGGTAAGTACTTTTTTTCTTTTTTTAAATCTATGTGAAACAGAACATAGGAGAGAATATACTTATAGTTTCATACTTTTCAGCCTATAGTGTTTAAACTTATCTTAGTTATAAAGTTGAGCTTGAAGTTTCAGTCTCATGCAGAAAAGGGCAATGGAACACTTTCTTGAACTGCTGAACCATACCCATTGCTGTTGAGTCAATTCTGACTCAAAATGACCCTATAGGACAGAGGAGAACTGCCCGATAGGTTTCCAAGGCTGTAATCTTTTTGGAAGCATATTGCCTTGTCTTTCTCTCATGGTGTGCTGGTGGGTTCGAACTGCCAGCCTTTGCAATTCATAGCTGAGCATTTAACCACTGTGCCATTAGTGTATCTTTGAACTACTGTACTGTTTGTTGGAAAAAAAAAAACAAAATCAGTATTGTACCTACATAAGCTAGCTATAGCTACATATCTGAAATTTTTACGATGTTGGTAATTATGTTTATAACTGCTTTTATTGTTTTTTAGAGTATCCAAATTTTCTAGTGGAAAGTATGATTATATTAGCTTCATTTGAATCAATTATATGGATTTTTTTCTTGCCAAAATCACATCTTATTCCTTAGGAAATTTTTTTTTTTTTGCCTGATGTGAATTGGCATGTTATTCTCGCCAAGTAAAATTTATTCTTGTATTACTACCTTTGAATGCTAGTTGACTACCACAGTGCTTGGTTCACTATAATTCTTTCATAAATATATATTGAATAAATTTATATTTTAAATTTGATAGTTTCGAGATCATTTGAGTATTATAAGTTTTGCAGTTTGTAATGCATAATTTCTTTTCTATATACACTCAGGTTTTAGGCTTTTGTGTTTATATCTTACTGATTTGTGGTCTGGAGAGCTTGATCAATTAGCTTAATAAAAGAGATAGAATCAGTTATTAGGTGGGGGTAGTTTTCAAATCCTAGGGCATAATGAGAAAAAAATTTCAAATTCTAAAATAAAATTGTAAAGAGAGTTCTTGAATACTATTATACCTGGTTTGCACCTTCTTTTTGATTAAAAGTTTGAACATAAAATAGTTATTGAGCAAGTTTTTGAAGGAGAATTTCCTAGTCTTAAAAGTGAGTAACATAGTTCTTACATAGTTCAGTTTCTTAGTCCTTTTAATAACATTCTCACTACTTTCGATGTAGCTGTAGTTTGCCCTTCCTCCTATTTTAGGGAGTTGGAGCCCTCTGGGAGACTAATTGCTATTTTTGTCCTTATAACTAGTGCCATTATTAGCTTATCTGTGTAAACAATTAAACATTAAGTCAGACAGTAAAAGTACTTCTCAGTAAATTAGACGTGCATATCATAGTTACTATTCTTTGACTGAGTCTCCTGATATGCCTCCTGGATGTCCTATTTATAAACTATCTGCTTATTTCTTCATGAGATTTTTAACTTAGATTGTTCTTTCTGGGCTGTGGGTTTAGCTGAATACTGTTGTCCCTTTGATACAGCCAATTCATGATGTTTTAGGAATTCTATATTGTGACTGATTTATTGCCTAATTCTCACTTTTCTGGATCATGTTAGTATAGCTGAGTCAGTAGCCTTCTTGGATGCTAAAAGTTGCATATTACTTAGAGGCAAGAAGTTTAAAGCACTACTTGTTGTTGTATGCTGTTAGTTGACATTGTTTCCAATGCATGGGGACCCTGTGTGTGCGGAGTTTAACTGCTACACATAGGGCTTTTTTAGGCTGTGACCTTTTGAACCAGATCGCCAGGCCTATTGTCTGAGGTTTCTCTGGCACCAACTTTTCAGCTGGTTGGGCAGACAGTTGTAGCACCCAGGAACTCTTTTTTAAAAATTGTGATTTGGGTAAAGTTCACAGAGCAAATTCACTTTCTATACAGCAGTTCACTTTGTCTCATGACGTTGACTACAATTTACCACAATGCAACAGCTCCCCTCCCACTTCTTTCCCAGGTTACCTCTTCCTTGTGTCCTTACCTCCACGTACTCCTGACCCCTGAGCTATGTCCCTGTGCGTACAAGCCCTTCTATTCTCTCATGATTGTTCTCTCCAAGGAGTGTATCTATCTAGTGTAAATGTTCACTTCATATGCCTGTCTTTTGTTTGGCTGGAAGCCACAGGTGTAGCTTCAGTTCTAGACCTGAAGGGTAGCTAGGGGCCATGGTGTCATTAGTTCCACCAGGGTCTATCAGATCAGCAAATCTGGTCCCTCTTTTTTTTTCCTTCCCAAATGATTTTGAGTTTTGTTCCACATTGTTCTCCCACTCTACCAAGGATCTCCTTCATAGATCCCCCTCTGAGTGGTTGACAGTGATCGCCGGGCACCATCTAGTTCTTCTGGTCTCCTAGTTGCATAGGCTGAGGATCGCATACTACCCAGGAACTCTTAAAGCAATAATAGTGGTTGAAAAATCCTGTTAGTGTATGTGTGTAGTACTTGTCACTTGGTAGCTTAGTGTCTTCTGTTTAGAAATGGCTGTTATTCATAATGTAAGTGGGTATTTGAACTTTTAGGTAAGTTAACTCTTAATTTCATCTTGAGAAAAGGAAGAGATTCTAATTTGTATTCACAATATTTCTAGACATTAGAAGCTTTTAAAAGCTAATTAAAAGCACTGAGCTTAAGATTGAAGTCAAGTTCAGAGGGATCAACTGACTCACAAAGTTTGAGATTTTCATTCTGTCAGGGCCTAATGGTTAAGGGTATATAAATTCTCAAATCAAATGCAAAGGTTCAAATCTGCTCCCTACTTACTGATTGTCTTACTCTAGGAAAGTTACTTAACACCAGTTTTCCTTATCTAAAAAGTAGGAATAATAAGAGTACATACTTCAGGGTTGTAAAAATTAAACGAGATTGTATATATATATATATAAAGTGCATGGCATTAAATGTCTGACACTTAGTAGGGACATTTTAACTAGTATTTATTTTTCTTGATCTGTTCTAGGCACATCATAGGCAGTTTATAGAGGAAAATGATTTTACACCTGCGCTTATGATGTTTACTTATATTTATTTGTGTTTTTTTGGGCTCCTTGTCTAACATGAATAGTGCAAACAACTGTAGCTTCTTTATAAAAACCTTTAGCTCATGGAGCTTCTTATAGCACTTATTGTGGGTAGTACTTACTTGGTGTGTGCTATTTTATTCCTGTTTGTGACCAGAGAGGAACCCTGATAGCACAGTGGTTAAGCACTCTGTAGCTAACTGAAAGTTAGTGGTTCGGACTCACCAGATTGTCTGAGGGACAAAGAGAAGGCAGTTTGCTTCCATAAGGACTTATAGCCTTGGAAACTCTATGGGCCAGTTCTGCTCTGTCCTGTAGGGTTGAGTTAGAATTTCACTCTATGGCAATGGACCTGGCTTTGGTTTGGTGTGACCTTATTAGTTTACTCCTCTAGATTCTAACCCCTTAAAAACAGGAACTATACCTGAAAATTTTTCTTTACCAGCAGCATTCATTTAAATATAATGGGTGCTTAATAAAGTGTTTATTTTGAAAGTTAACTGTGCAAAAGTACTATCTTAACCATTTAAAATAGGTTAAGGAACTGGGTTTTTCAGAAAGAGTTTAGAACTGGAGAAATTATATAGTATGCATATACCTTGTTTTATTGTGCTTTACTTCATTGCGCTTTGCAGATAATTGCTTTTTTTTTAATTTTTCAAACAAATTGAAGCTTTGTGGCAACCCTGCATCAAGCAAGTCAGTTGGTACCATTTTTTCCAATAGCATGTGTTCACTTTGTATCTCTGTGTCACATTTTGGTAATTCTCGCACTATTTCAAACATTTTCATAATACTGTTGAATACTTAATAGACTACAGTATAATGTAAACAAAGTATAATGTAAACTTTTATATGCACTGAGAAACCAAAAATTCGTTACTTGATTTGTTGTGGTTTTTGCTTTGTTGCAATTATTCATTTTGTTGCAATACTCACTTTATTGTGGTGATCTGGAACCAAACCCATGGTATTCCTGGAGTATGCCTATATTAAGGGTAGCTGAGCATAAAATTGTATTAACTATGACAGCTAACCACAGCCTATAAAATGTAATTGAAAAAGCTGTCTAATGTAAAAATAATAATTGAATGATAGCAACAAAGTCCCAAAACATTCCAAAAAATCAGGAGTGAAACAAGGAGGATAGAACAAATGTATACATTTTTAAATATTTCTGGCAGTGATAGGGGAAACAAGATACTGTTTAATTTCTAAGTTAAATTGAGAAATGAAGTATATAATTTAAAGATATGAAAGCAACCACTATTAGAAATAAAAATAGCCTCTGTTACATATTCTAAGTAATAAGGAGAGGAATGGGGGGAAGTTTGGTGGGTTATGCTTTAAAGGAAGCATAAGAAATTCTTTCAATCACTAAAGAAAAACTGTTTTTCTTCCAGACAAGATGAAGCTTCCAATAGCAGCCAAGAAATAAATCCTGATGACAGGCGATCCCAGTGGAGACGAGAAGACAGATTCCCTTACCAAGACAGAGAGAGTTACAGTCAGCCAGCATGGCACCATCGTGCACCTCCTCAGCGGGATTGGAAATGGGAGAAAGATGGCTTTAATAATACTAGAAAAAGCAGCTTTCCACATTCTTCAAGGAATGGTGGTAGACAAAGAGGATGTTCTGGGTGGCATAAGGGTGTTGGAGGAGGCTCTTCAACTTGGTTTCACAATCATAGTAATTCTGGTGGTGGTTGGCATTCAAATAGTGGAACAGTAGACTGGAATCATAATGGTACAGGAAGGAATTCCAGTTGGCATTCTGAAGGAACAGGTGGCTTTTCCAGTTGGCATATGAATAGCAGTAACGGAAACTGGAAATCCAGTGTACGTGGTACAAATAGTTGGAATTACAGTGGCCCCGGAGACAAATTTCAACCAGGCAGAAACAGAAATTCTAACTGTCAATTGGAAGACATGACTATAGTACGGAACAAGAAATCTAATAAGTCAAATAAATACAACCAAGAGAGATATAATTGTCAACGCCAAGAAAATGACACAGTTGGTACAATTGCCACCTATCCTTCTCCTGAAGGATTTGCAAATGATAATTTTTCTTCAGAAGGCTTATTTGACTTCAACTTTGAGCACCTGGAAAGCCCAGCCACTAAACAAGCAGACACCATAGCTCCCAAAACTGGTGGAAAGAATGGCAGTGTAGCCAAGGAAAAGCTCCGCCGCTGGACTCCTTACCCTTCCCAGAAGACTCTGGATTCACAGTCTGCATTGAAAGATGTCACTAGTAACAAGTGAGAGAAGACAGATAAGCCTTTCCCCAGTTTAAGCTTGTTAACTACAGGAACAAAAAAGCCCCAAAGTGATAAAACAAGCAATTCCCCAATGCTGAAGACACAGAATGAAGCACGTACAGAATCTGTTCATCACAAAGCCACTTCTGACTGCACGGCTTCCTCTGAGGTGGTAAAAGATTGCCTCATTACAGAAAAATCAGAACAAGAGCATAACTCAAATAAGATGCCATCAGTGAAACCCATACGCCTTCCAATTCCAGGCACTAAATCAATTCCTCAAAAACAAGATTCAAAGAATCCCTCAAAAAACACAAAAACTTATTCTGGTTTTCCTGGAGAACAATCAAATCCTGTGAACAAACCCATTTTAGAAGACTGTCATAATTCTTACATATCCAAATTGCGTAGTGTTTTAAAAGGGAGTAAGAGTACATCTGGCACTCAAAGGGAGCCAGATGAAAATTTAAGCGATACATTACAAAAAACCAAAGAGGTGATACAGTGTCATGAATCAGTGCAAAAGCCATCACCTACCACTTCTAAAAGGACCAGGAACTGTGCAAAAGCAAGTAGAAATGTAGAAGAGTCTGAAAAAGGATCTTTAAAAATTGAGTTTCAAGTACACACATTAGAAGATGAAAGTGATGGTGAGATATCTGACACTGAAAAGCATGGGCCAGAAATTGGAACTTTGGGTTCTGCAACTACAGAAGTTTTATCCTGTAGCACTCATTCTGCTGATGAGAAAGAGGGGGATGAGCAAATCCTGAAAATATCTAGAAAACTATCCAGTTCTCCATGTAATTCTACAGTTCACAAGAAAGAATCTGAGTTGCAAATGACACCTACAGGCAGTCCACATACTGGCTTATTGCTAGACTTGAAAACCTCTCTAGAAGATACACAGATTGATGACCCTGTTAAATGTCATGTATCTTTTGAGTCAGAAGGGTTTGAGAGCAGTACTAGCTTGGATACAGAGCTTCAAAAAAGTGATATAGGTCAGCCCTCAGGCCCTCTCCTGCCTGAACTAAGTAAGCTTGGCTTTCCTGCCTCTCTCCAGAGAGATCTAACCCGGCACATTAGTTTGAAGAGCAAAACTGGAGCACACCTTCCTGAGCCAAACCTCAATAGTGCTCGCCGCATTCGCAACATAAGTGGTCACCGAAAGAGTGAGACAGAGAAGGAATCTGGGCTCAAGCCAACTCTTAGGCAGATTCTAAATGCATCTCGGAGAAATGTCAACTGGGAACAGGTTATTCAGCAAGTAACCAAGAAAAAGCAGGAACTGGGCAAAGGCTTACCCAGGTGTGTGCATCTTTTCAGTATCTATAATTATTTATTATTTGTTATTCTCTTTCTTTCTTTTAAGCTATAGTTTGACCCTAGTCAAGAGAATTCTACTTGTTACATTTAATTAAACACTTACCAAATATATACATTGTAGAAGTCTAGTGTTAATGTATTAAATATAAAGAGTGACTGCTAATCTATGACAAATGTAGTAAAGTGTTTCTTAGAAGGGAATTCAGGTTAAAAGGAAGCATAGCTATTTCTGAGATGGGGACGCAAAAAGAAATCGGAAATGCATCACTTTAATTATGTTGTTGCTGTTGTTGTGTGCTGTCGAGTCAGACCTGACTCATAGTGACCCCTCCTTGAGTTTCCAAGGCAGTATTACTACGGAAGTAAATTGCCCAAACTTGGTTCCAAGGAGTGGCTGGTGGGTTTGAACCACCAGCCTTCTGGTTAGCAGTCATGTGCCTTAGGCACTACGCTACTAGAGCTCCTACTTTAATTATAGGGACTAGAAATTGACAACATGAAAAATGTATAAATGTAAATCTGTATCTGTTTCTAGATCTCAAATTTGGAATGAGTGGTACAACTTTTAAGTATTACTGTTCTCATTACTTTTGATTTAGGATAACCCTCCTGTGTGTACTCTGGGCATTTTATATATAAGCAAAAAACCAAACTCACTGCCATTGAGTTGGATCCGACTCATAGCAGCCCTTCCTCGGGTTTCTGAGGCAGTATCACTATGGAAGTAGATTGCCCAATTTTCCTTCTGAGGAGTGGCTGGTGGGTTTGAACCGCCAGCCTTCTGGTTAGCAGGCAAGTGTCTTAGGCACTGTGCCATCAGAGCTCCCATTTATATATATATATATATATATATATATATATATATATACACACACACATATACACATATACATATACATACATGTATTATATATAATATTATGTATATTTTATATGTATATTATTATTATATATTTTATATATATTGTATGTGTGTATATAGAGAGAGAGGGAGAGGGAGAGAGATTTGGATGGAAGTATACAGAGCAAAATCATTTTCCATATAACTGCTCGTACACATTTTGTTTCATGACATTGGCTATGATTCCCCACATGTAACAGCTCTCTTCCCACTTCCTCCCTGTAGTTACTTCTTCCCTGTGTCCTTCTTTCCTATGCGTTTCTTCCCTGAGCTATCTCCCAGTGCAAATACTGCCCTTCTATTCTCCCATGATTGATTGTTCTAAGGAGTGTATCTACCTAATGTAAATGTTTACCTTATATGCCAGTCTGTTGTTTGGCTGGAAGCCATGCAAGTGAGTTCAATTTCAGACCTGAAAGGTAACTAGGGGCCATAGTCTTGGGGTCTGGGCATTATACTTATAATCGCAAAATGCTTAATGTTAAACATTTCTGTAGTGTTTTTGCTATTCATCTTATATTGAAATACTAGGCTTTTCTTAATGGTAAAGCAATGTTCACATAAGTTTGCTGCTTGAAAATCATAATTCTGCATTATAATTACATAGCCTTCCATGCTTAGGGTATATTTCTGTCCATGGTGAAATAATGGAGTCATTTTGCCCTTTTGTCCTTTCCCATACTTGGTATTACTTGAGACCTCTTAGTACAGTGCCTGGTCTTTAGGAATGCTCAACAAAAGTTTTTTTTGTTGTTTTGGTTGGTTTGCTGCTTTTAGAATTATGTATTTGTTATTAATGGTTTAAAGCTCCATAGTAAATAAAACCCTAATTATTTACTCTCTCAAATATATTCTCATAGCTGTATACAGATCTCTGCTTTAGCACTTGTCACATTATTATTATATTATAGTTATTTACTTTACATCTGAATCTCTTATTAGACTGTGAACTCTTTAAGGGCAAGAACTACCTTATTTTTGTAACTTAGTGGTTAGAGCCTGGCACATTAAATGTTACCCGTCCCAACCATGTCTGAGTTATAAGTGTCTCTCCAAAACCATGTCTGAGTTATGCTTTTTTATTTTATTTTTCCCCTTTCTTAAGGTTTGGCATAGAAATGGTACCCCTGGTGCAGAATGAACAAGAGGTCTTAGATTTGGATGGGGAGCCTGATCTGTCCAATCTAGAAGGATTCCAATGGGAAGGTATTTCTATTTCCTCACCCCCTGGGTTGGCAAGGAAACGAAGCCTTTCTGAGAGCAGCGTCATCATGGACAGGGCTCCTTCTGTGTATAGCTTCTTCAGTGAGGAAGGTACAGGCAAAGAAAATGAGCCCCAGAAGATTATTTCACCTGATAACTCGAGGGCTTCACAGAGTCAAAAAATGACCATGAGCTTTAAACAAGAAATGACACCTATGGCTGCTTCTCTAAGAGCAGGTGAAATAACTGAAAATGTTGTTACCCGAAGGCGACATAGTACGCAGTTACCCTCTGACTGTACAATCCCTTGGATGCATTCAGCAAAAGACCTGAGCATCCGGGAGAGTTCCACACCACCTTCAGAGAATCAGAATGCCCAAGAGAGTAACGGAGAAGGCAACTCTGTATCATCAAATGCATCTTCAGCCCTTGCAAACTCCAGTTTGGTGGATGCAGCCACAGATAGTAGCTGCACCTCTGGTGCTGAACAAAATGACTGCCAGATTATTAGGAAGAAACGAAGAGCCACTGGAGTGAGTATGACTCCCTGTGCTTTTTGTAGAGCATCTAATACAGTGATTTGTCTGTTACAAGAAAGGTTTAACTTATATTTTTTCTGGGATTGTGGTTCTTCTCTCCGTTCATTGCTGGCATACAAGAATTGGGAGACTCTCAGTCTTACGTTCATATTCTTGTCTTACTGGTTTCTTTCAATGAGGAATTCTAACTTAGATGTAATTTAATATGAAGGTACAGTACTAGGAAAATATGAAGTCATCTCTAAAACTAGTGTCCAAGCTAATGATTTTTTTGTGTCACTTGACCAAGGAGTAAGCCACATCTTCAGCTGTAACATTATTTTCTTGATGAAATTTGTACTGCTACTGAAGAAAGATTTCCCAGTGTTGCATTTATAGAGCATGTTTGTTGGACTCTGGACTGCTAGGCATGACCCAAGGTGGTTTTAGTGCTTTACAGTGCATATAAATGAGTGTAGTCGTAGAAGTATTCTGAGTCTCTGTTACTCTGATCTTTTGTCCTTCAGTTACCTAGCCTGGCCCTGTAAGAATCTATTCCTTCCCTGACACCTCTTCTGCTCTTTTGGCATCTTTGTCACTATTACTGGTTAACCCTTTTGGGAACACTTTCTGAAAAGACAAAGTTGCTTCTCTGGAATCTGACAGTGCTAGAAAACTGTTCTTTTTAATACTGAGGCAGTATAACAGAGCAGGAAAGGCATGAATTTGAGGCCTTTGTTTAAATTCCAACTCTGTCCCTTTGAACTAGACACGGTGTAGTAGACATTGTTAGGTAATTTAAAGTATACTTTAAGCTTAGAGATTGTCCTGTGACAAAACTTATACCTTGGGGGTTGCCTCATAGACTGTTTAGCTTTTTCTTGTAAAGGTTTTCTTCCTGACATTTAGAGAAGAAATTATGCCAAGATGAAATCAGATGTATGTATTACTGCTTTGTCTGTACTTTTAACTATGCTTTGCTTCACCAAAGTGAAAAGGTTTGCCTAACCCATTTTAGCATGGGCTTTTCCTACATCTAGGATGCTAGGAAGGTACTTGGCTCTTGGATTCTATTTTTTTTATCAGATACATTCATTCAAGTAATACTTGAGTTTGTACTATGTGCATAAGACTCCTACTATCCTGTGAGAGACAATAGCAATAATGAAGAATAATGTGTGACTATCTTAGAATTGAAAAAGAATTGATTCTTTTTCCCTTTCTGGATAATAAAAAAACAAACCTGTTGCCATTGAGTCAATTCTGACTCATAGGAGATATGACTATAGGACAGAGTAGAAGTGCCCTGTAGGGTTTCCAAGGCTGTAAATATTTACAGAAGCAGACTGCCTCATCTTTCTTCCATGGAGTGGCTGGTGAATTTGAACCGCTAACCTTCAGGTTAGCTGCCAAGTGCTTAACCACTGCACCATCAGGGCTCCTTCCTGGATAATAGCTTTTACATATTTCATATTACTCAGTTTTTTTTATGTCTTTAGGATGGATCATCTCCTGAACTGCCAAGTCTTGAAAGAAAAAATAAAAGAAGGAAAATTAAAGGAAAAAAAGGTATGGCACACCATATTCTGGCAGAGCTTGCTCTTACAGCGGGTCAAACTTTATACAACTTGACATAGAGCCTGGGTTGTGATTACCAAACACTGCTCATTTATTATTTTCTTGACATTGTTGTTTTGCTTAAGGGCAGATAAAAATTTGATTTCCTCTTATATCCAGTTATAGCTATAGAAAAAAATGTCTGATGCATGTAAGATTGTAAGGTAAAGTTAAATATATTCCTTGGACAAATTGGGTTCAGTATAAAGCCAGAAAGTCATAATTGACCCTTTTCAGTGGGATGAAGAAGGACAGGCCATTTAGTAAAAATTTTATCCCTCTCAGTCATTTATAATCACTTCTTGCACTTTGTTTTTTTTTTAGGCATCTTGGTTACTATTCTAATGTGAATTAAGGAGAGGAAGTTCTTAGAGTGGCTCCCTCACTGCTATGCTTCTATGACTCTTGCTTTCTGTGGACTCTAAACCAGTTTCAGTTGTAAGGACTAGTGCAAGAAGTGATTGAGTGACCTTGGGTGACTGGATGTGATGGATAAGGTGGGAATCAAGGATGACTTTGAGATTTCTGGCTAGGGCACTTAGGTAGATGATGGCATCATTTGTAGAACTGGAAAACTCCATGAGAGGAACAGACTGAAGGTAGAGGAAGATGACGAGTTCCCTTTTGGATACTTTGAGTTAAAGGACCTTTGAGATATCTTGGTAATGATATCAAGTTGGTAGTTGAATGTGTGGGTCTGGAATTTAGAAGAAGTCTGGGCATATTGAATGGGAAAGAGAAATATGATTAATGCATGCATACACATAGTAGAACTTGTATTAAAAGTAAGTTAAAGGTAGTATTTCAAACCTGTATTTTCTTCCAAGAAGCTTCTAATAAAGAAAACCATTTAAAATCAACTAACAGACTTAAAAATTATGAGCTGGGAGGAAAGTGTAAGCATTTGACGTCTGGGGCTCAGTCTAAGCAAAAGCCTTCACTCATAAAGAGAGTGGTATGTAAAAGAAGAATAGTAAATGAAACCCAGCACAATTGATGTGCCTGGGACAGAGATTTCACCTGGAAGGGTGGTGGTGGAAGATGACAGATAGGCAAGATGGTACCATGATACACTTGATACACTTAAGAAAGCTCCATGTTAGCAATTCTGACTGGTTTCTAGCTCTGACAACATCAGGCTTGACTATATGATATTGAGATGTTAAGCCTCTCCAGTGACCCACTGAGGAGAAAATAATGACTTATCCTAAGTAACTGTTATAGTACCATTTTCTGAGGAGCTCTATCTTTACAGGGAAGTCTCCAGTATTAAAGAGAGCGTTATGATTTCTTTTGGCAGAACGTTCTCAGGTTGACCAGCTGCTGCATATTTCTTTAAGAGAGGAGGAACTAAGCAAATCTTTGCAATGCATGGATAACAACCTTTTGCAAGCTCGTGCAGCACTTCAGACCGCTTACGTTGAAGTCCAGCGGCTCCTTATGCTCAAGCAACAGGTAACAGTAGATGGACTGTTTATTGAAAATGGATCATCTCAAGCTGGATTTTAAAATGCTTAACAAAGTACTTTATTTTTAGATAACTATGGAGATGAGTGCACTGAGGACGCATAGAATACAGATTCTACAGGGATTACAAGGTATTCAGAGGGTCTTATGGATTGGGCTTTCTATAGCTTGTTACTTTCTTATTCTATAGACAGCAATGAAAAGTAGTCATGAAAAGGTTAATAATTCTTCCACATCTCTTTGGGTTTATCCCACTATAGAAGGTCCATAATCATAGTCCTATGAGACTATATAGTCCCCAAAATGCTAACCAATGGAGGCAGAATGTTGTTATGGAAAAAATGCATTGGGATAGGAATCAAAAGACATGGATTCAAATCTTGGTAGTCCTATTAGTATACCTATATTATTTTTGGGTAAGTCACTTAAAATAAGAAAAAAAAATGGAATGTTAATGCTTGTTCTTTCTGTAACCTTGGATTATGTGATGTTTTGCTGTGAAGAATTTTGAGAGACTGTACTAATACACTTACTAATTTAAAATCATCTCCTATTCTTTAGAAATACAAATTGGCTCGGGAATGATTGACTACAGATAATATTTTCACATTGGTCTGTATATTTCTCATTCTAGAAACGTACGAACCTTCTGAGCACCCAGACCAAGTTCCCTGTAGCCTTTCAGGAGAACAAAGGAACAGTAGATCTCAAACGTCTGCTGATGCCACACTGCTGCCTACTCCCTTTTTCCCAGTTTTTCTGGACGCTCCGTCTTCCCATTTGTCTCCATCATCCACATCTACTTTCCAAACCCATGGCAGTGTTCCTGCTCCAGACTCATCAGTTCAGATTAAGCAAGAGCCCACGTCTCCTGAACGTGATGAGAATGTGAATGCTGTGCCACAAGGCTCTGCTGGTAGTGTGTCCAAGGAATTACCGCACACTAATAGTATGTAAGCTTTTTTCTCCAGTAGTGGTACTAGGGCAATTTTGTATCCATGATGTAAAATCGATTCATGTAAAATAAATAAATAAATAAAACTAAATTTATTACAATTTTTTATTGACATTTTCTTCATACAGGAGGATTATTTTAAAACATTTCAGTAATTTTCCCCTAATCCTGAATTTGTAGGGTTACTGAGCTGACTTATCTATTGTACCCAAAAGGTTCTGTTTATTGGGATTGGTGTAGAATTTATTTGGCTTTTGTGAGATAAGTCAGGTTGAAATTGCTCGGCCAGTTTTCTAGATAAGGTATAGCCCCTGAATGTCTCAGCACTTAACTGTCAAATACAAGTGTAGAGAGGCAGGTGACCATGATGAAAGGCAGGAGACTCTGGAATCATCTAACAGGAACTTGAGTGGTTCTGAGAAATAGCTAGTTTTTATTCTTTCATAAAATAAAATTGGTTAGCATCTGAGAATGATTTCTAAGCTGTTTAAACTCCCCTTGCAAAGTTTCATAACCACAATGATGCTGTATTGAAAATTACGTAAAAAGCAAGGAAACAGACTGCTATTATATGCTTTTGTAAGAAAAAAATGTCTGAAGAATTATTCTAGTTATGCTGCCACTCCCCTTTTGCAGGGAGCAGTTCAGTGGTAGAATTCTCTCCTTCCAGGCTAGTGGCCCAGGTTCAATTCCCAGCCAATGCACCTCATACACAAGCACCATCTCTCTGTCAGCGGAGGCTTGTGTGTTGCAATGATGCTGAATAGGCTTCAGTGGAGCTTCCAGACTAAGATGGACTAGGAAGAAAGGCCTGGCAATCTACTTCCGAAAATCTGCCATTGAAAATCCTTTGGATTACAGCGGTTTGATCTACAACCATTCATGGGGATGGCACAGGACCAGGCAACATTTCATTCCACTGTGCACGGATAGCCCCAAGTCAGGGGCTGACTCAACAGCAGCTGACAACAACCCTGTTGCAACAGCAATCAGTGTATAGAATGTGTATCAAATGTGTATTATCTTTCATGTTGAACTTTAAGTTTGTTTTATATGAATAGGATTTTTTTTTTTCAATGTAATAATGGTACATTAGTGATTTTTTTGAGCTTTTAAAAATAGCATTTATTCAATTTCTCTCTGATTACAGAAGTAATTCATGTTCATTGTAAAAAATTGGGAAACAAAATGTATATATAGTATTTTGTTATTTGAATCTTAAATCTTGTTTGTATGTTTACATATAGACTTATACAAAGAAGAAATCATAGTCTATTATAACCAGATTTTTTTCACTTTATGTATCGTTATTTTCTGTGTCATTAAAATACTTCACCTAAAATAATTCTTTATTTTACTAGTTGAATAATTTGAGTAGTTGTATAATAATCAATATAAAATAACTTGTATAACAAATCTCTTTTAATATTTAGTTTTTTTCCATATTTTTGTTTTTATATATAATACTACATTGTATATGTTTTTAAATACATCTGTGATTTTTTTTCAACAGTTTAAATTCCTAGATATGAAACAACTAAGTCAAAGGAAACATATTTTTAAGTCAGCTGAAGTGGGTGATGTATAGGTAAAATGTATCCTGAAAACAACTAAGAAAGAAAGGTGAAAGGGATTCAGCAAAGGAGATGTTTAAGTGTCTACTAAGAATAAAACAGAATAGTAAATATGTGGGCATTTAAAACAAGAGGAAAAAAAATTCATAGAAACAATTCTTGTCCACAACAGACTCATAGAGAATAAGATGTATACATTATTTATGAAAGGGAAAGTGTAGTAAGTGCTATAGAAATGTGTGTAGGTGATGGGAAGTTGAGGGGTGAGATAACAGCTTTACCAGTGATGGTTTAGTTAACTTACTATAGAAGCTTCATTATTTGGTAGAAATTTAATCAATGATAAATAATTTGCAGTTTGTGACTATGAATAATGGACACAAAGAAAGATGCAATAATTTTTCTCTTCTCAACTCAGGAGAGATCAGTGACAGTTGTCCAGTTTATCCAGTCATCACTGCAACATTGTCCTTATCAGAGCTAACAGAGAGTTTCCATGAGGCTAGCCAAGATCTGAAGTTTTCTGTGGAACAAGGAAATATCAGAAACAGAGAAAATTCTCCCTGTTCCCAATCAACTGGTCTTCCTAACATAAGTAAAGAAGGGGAAGAGCCAGCCAAAGGCAACAGTGGTTCAGAAGCCTGTACCAGTTCTTTTCCAAGATTGTCCTTTGCTTCAGAAACCCCTTTGGAGAAGGAGCCCCACTCTCCAGCTGACCAACCTGAGCAACAGGCAGAATCTACTTTGACATCAGCAGAAAGTAGAGGAAACAAGAAGAAGAAGAAACTTAGGAAGAAGAAAAGTCTACGGGCTGCCCATGTTCCTGAGAATAGTGATACTGAACAGGATATATTTACTGCCAAACCTGTAAGGAAAACAAAAACTGGAAAGTTAACCAAAGGGGGAAAAGTAATAACTTCCACCTGGGAAGATGGCAGAAATGGCCAGGAACAAGAGAGTGTCCGAGATGAGCCAGACAGTGACTCGTCTCTGGAAGTCCTAGAGATCCCCAATCCGCAGCTAGAAGTGGTAGCCATTGACTCTTCTGAATCTGGAGAAGAGAAACCAGATAGCCCATCCAGAAAGGATATCTGGAACTCCACAGAACAAAACCCACTAGAAACATCTCGTTCTGGTTGTGATGAAGTTAGCTCTACCAGTGAGATTGGCACTCGCTATAAGGATGGCATCCCTGTAAGGTAAGGATGTTGTATTGGTCTAATCAGAATGACTTTCACCAAACTTACTATTTTTAATAGGACTTTTGTTACAAATCAAAATTTTTTTACAAAAGTCAAATTTATTTTAAAAAAATGTGTGACTATGGAAGACTCAAACCCTGTCAATGGAGATAAGATCTGTTTCCTCTTCGGACTGTGTTGCCAATATCCACTCTATTTCCCTTCATATAGAAATTTCATATAGAAAAACTTCTATCATTACTACTTTGCCTGTTGTTTAGAAAAATCCTCTTCCTCTCCTGCTCACAGAGATACTAAGAAGAGTTTTGTTATTTTTTAGTGTGGCAGAAACTCAGACTGTGATCTCCTCCATAAAAGGATCAAAGAACTCTTCAGGTATCTGGTGGTTCAGTTTTACTTAAATTAACTCTAGAAAAAAAGGTTTCTGTATATTAGAGCTAGGGTTTAAATCTACTTAAATACACTTGTAGAAAAGGAAAAGGCTGGGGATGGGGGGGACCTCACCAGCAAGAGCATTGCTTAGACTAGCAGTTATGGTATCCCTAAACCCTTGCATCCTTGCCTTCTCTGCTTGTTATCCCCATCTCTCTTGTCTGGCTCTTTATCTGCTCATTAATTAATATTAGTGTGTCATTGGTTCTAGTGGTATTTTTTTTGATTATGAACTACTTAAGAGTGCCTTACTCAGAATTAACTGGTAGCAGAGGAATAATGACTGAGTGTGGAGAGAGATTGAGTACCTTCCAAATATCACTCAAAAACTCAGTACTTTAAGTATCTTTTTGCTAAATGAAAAGCCTTCCTTTATGGAACTTCATAATGAAGATCATTGATGAAAAATGTAATGTTTTTCTAGGGAAGTAGGCTTTAAAAAGATCTTTTAATTAAGTTTAGGGACCACTATATAATGGTTTTGTTTTTTGAATATTTTTCAAACTCTAGCAAACATGTTTCTGAAACATTCTTGTTTTCTAGAAATATCTTCAGAACCAGGAGATGATGATGAGCCCACAGAAGGGAACTTCGAGGGGCACCAAGCTGCCGTGAATGCAATACAAATATTTGGGAACTTACTGTATACCTGTTCAGCAGATAAAACTGTCCGTGTTTTTAATCTGGTGGTAAGTTGGTATTTCAGTTTGAATAATTGTAAGTTATAGAAAATCAAACATGTACTCTCTTAAACAGTTTTTAAAAAACAATTGTTACTGAGTGGATTCTGATTCATGGCAACTCATGGTGTGTGTCAGAGTGGACCTGTGTTCCACAGGGTTTTCAATGGCTGATTTTTTGGGAAGGAGCCTTTTCTTTGGAGCCACCTCTGGATGGACCTAGACCTCCAACCTTTTGGTCAGCAGCTAGCATGTGAACCATTTAGACTACCCAGGAATTCGTCTCTTAAACAACAAAAGAGGTATTTTAAGGAGCCCTGGTGGTACAGTGGTTAAAGCACTTGGCTGCTAACTGAAAGGTTAGCGGTTGAACTTAACAGCAGCTCAGCAGGAGAAAAGACCTGGCAATCTGCTCCCATAAAGATTTTCGCCTAGGAAACCCTATGGGACAGTTCTGCTTTGACCTATGGGGTAACTATGAGTCGGAATGGAGACTTAGCAGCACACAACAGCGACAACATTGGCTGTCAAGCTGGGGGTTTGCTTTAGACTGACTTTACATTGATTGGTTGATTGAGCAGCTCAGCAGTGTCACTGTTGACTTAATTTCTTTCTGTCTCTCTACTCTGCTTTCTCTGATATTGTCTCTTCCTAAAGATACTTCCCCTCATGCTCATAAGATCATTGCCTGGAGCCCACCACCAAAAAGAGTCATCCTGTGCTTTACTCCCTAAACCAATTACCTATGGCAAGAGGGATGGGATTACACTGATAGGTTTCAACTAGACAGGTCCCACCCATGGAGTTGGTGATGGGGTTAGTCTCATAGCTGCTACATAATAGAGGAGGGGCAGAATGAATATTGGAGAAGTATTAGATTAGGAAGGAGTCCCTGGGTAGCATAATGGTTAGGGTACTAACCGAGAGGTTGATGATTTGGAACCCCCAAAGGTGCCTTGGAAGTAAGGTCTGGTGATCTGCTTCCAAAAGGTTACCACCTTAAAAACCCTGTGGAGCAGTTCTACTCCACACGTGGGGTTGCCATGAGTCAGAATCAACTCAACAGCAACTAATAATATTAGAGGAGGCATTTTTCATGACAGTTGGTAGACTACAAAATCCAGGTTATTAAGGAGAGCCTGCCCTCTTTCACTACCCCACAGTCAGTGTAATCTGTTGCTCATTAATTTCAATTTTCATAGAATGAACTTTTGTTTTGAATTTGGTTTATGTCTAACTAATTCTATTTATTAACAATTACAGCCAAGAAACTTTAGGAGCACTACATTGTCTAAACAGATGAACGCTATGAAAGTATTTGAAATTGCTGAAATTAGTGAAGTTAGAGTTAGGTGATGGGCCAAAAAAATGTGTTAACCATAGTCAGGTATTTAGATTCTTTTAGTTTAATAATATGAGGGGAAGTGAGAATGACTCTTGGAAAATTGTATTGGTACCATGAGATATGAATAAGGCTAAATAAGACTTGGGAGATCAGCTCTAACTCTAAATTGCAAGAAATATGTGTATGTATGAACATTCTTAATAGATCTCAGATTGTATCCAGAATTAACATTTAGGTCCCTTATAAAACCACAGCTGGACCACTAGAACCTGTCATGTCTTGGAATATTGTGGAACATTTTCATATGCTACTGAGCAAATGCAAAAACTTACCTAAGTAATAATCTACAGTTTAGATTTGCTAGTCCTTGGACCATATGCTAGAGAGCCTTGCCACAGATATTGCAGTTCCATCTGTCTTGTAGTGGATTGCCCTGTTTGTTTTTTGTTTTTTTTGTTAAAGTATGGCTCTGCTGTCTTATATAGATGCAGTTACCTCAGTACATGTGACTGTTTGATGGGCATTCAGAGAACAAATAGTGTTGTGTGTGAGGCACCATTATTAGCATTGAAGATACAGCAGTCAACAGTATTCTAGCATCTTTTTGAGGAGATGCATTACCTAATCCTTCTCTACCCTACAAGTAATAACCTGATCTGTGTTAAACTTTAGAGTCGGAAATGCATAGGTGTCTTTGATGGCCATTCCTCCAAAGTGAACTGCCTGCTGGTTACTCAGACCTCTGGGAAGAATGCTGCCCTTTACACTGGGTCCAGTGATCACACCATTCACTGCTATAGTATTAAGGTAGGTGGGTCTGAAGAAATCAAAAATGACTTTACATGCGGTTGACCCAGCAGCTCAGCATGGTCACAGGAAACTTAATTTCCTTCTTTCTCACCACTCTGTCTTCTTTTGTGGTTCCTTGGAATGGTGGGAATTTACTGAGAGAGAGGGTATGAGGCAACTTTTTTGGGTGGTTAGAAATGTAGTGAAATTTGATTGTGGTAGTGGTTGCACAAATGTATACTTTACCAAAGCTTAGTGAAATGTCTATTTAGGGTGGGTGAATTTTATTCTATGGAATTATGCTTTAACAAACTTATTAATAATTGTAAACAAATCTTGGCAATAAATAATTAAAAATAGAAAAAATAGTTGTGCTTTAGGATAAGACTGATACAGGGTTAATATATGTTGTAAGGAGCTTAGACCTTTGAGAAGAGAAAAATGGGAAAATCTCTGTATAAACTGGCAAAAGACAAAAAAAAAATTCTTAAAAAGAGGAAATAGAAGTAACCGTTTGAAAATGATACAATCCTGCGCCAACAAACACAAATTGAAACAAAAGTACAGTACCATTTTTACTCATAGAATTAGCAAAAACATTTTAAAGATTTTTCAGTATTTTTAATGGTTCTAACACAAGTAGTATTTGCCATAGTGGGACTGTACATTAGTGAGGAAAAAAAAAACTTGCTAACCAATTTTTTAAATTGAACTGTAACTTCATACGGTAAAGTACACAGAGTTTAAGCATAAAGCTTGATGAATTCTTATAAAGGTATACATTTGTGTAACTACCACCAAGATCAGAATATAAACCATTTCCATTCCCCTGAAGGTTCCCTGGTGATTTCCCAGTCACTACCCACCTCCAAAATGGGTCAATCTACTTCCGTAGTGATACTGCCTCGGAAATCCAAGGAGAGGTCGCTGTGAATCGGATCCGACTCTACAACACATAACAACAACAACAACAACCCCCCTTCAAAGATAACCATTGTTCTGACTTCTGTCATTATAGATTACTTTTGGCTGGGTATGAACGTCATATAAATATAATGAGATTGTATGTCTTCTTTCATGCCTAGCTTTACTCATCATAATTCCTGAAATTCATCTATGTTGTTGCATGTACTGATATTTTTTAGTTTTTTTATTGCATTGCTGTCTAGTATTTCCCCCAGACCTTATGTGGGGTAACCAGGGCAACATCAATCTTAAGTTTTAAGTGTATTTACTGTCTTTTTCTGTGCTTTATAATTTCTTATGCTGCATTTATACTTATAATTTTATGGGGTGGAAATTAAAAGACTGGCTCTTTTAGGTATCAAAGAAGGTTGGGAGAAAAGATCAAAGAATTTGACAACCTCGCAGCTTGTTCCATTCTGCCTATTTATAGCCATCTTAATGTTAACATCTGTCTTCAGATCCTTAAAAAAAAATTACATTTAGTCACTTACTTTCATTCAACAACTAATCTTGAACATTTATTATGTGACTGGCTCTACTCTGGGTTCTAGGTAATATAATTTACCAGTATAAACCCAATTCTGGGTAATTCATAGAAATCTTTCTTCAAAGATCAAATAATGGTTCTTAAACCTAGATGTGTGTCAAAATCACTAAAGAAATTTTTCAAAAATGGAGATTCCAGAACCTTCTGAATTAGAATCTCAGGAATTGGAAGTGAAACTTGGGATTTTATATATTTTTTAAAAGCCTCATGGGTAATTATGGCCTGGGTGATTAAAAGAGCTAACCTAGTACCAGTTTAAAGGAGGCATTTAGGAGTTATTGAAGTAGAGAATCAATTGCAAGGAAGCACATACTTGATTAGTGCAGTGATCACAGATCTAACATGCAAATATAGCTCCCATTTTCCATTTTAGATGTCAAATGCTGCTTTATCTTTATCTTTGGCCACTTAATTTAAGAGACTAAAATCCAACTTATAATACTCTTTAAGAATTTCTACATTGCAAATTAGAAACATGGGGGAACATTATTAGAATTTATATTTGTTTTCATTGTTACATACAGTTTGGGGGTTAAGGACATCATATTTCAAAGGGGGGAAGAATCTAAGATAGTCCTCTGCAAAAGAAGGGATGCCACATTTTGTCCTTATAAGAATAATTTCAAGCAGACCCTGCTTCCAGAAGGGATTGCTTTCACATTCTTTCTGCAGCTAGCCTCTTACGATTAAGCGTTGTGTACTTTTACTAGACCCGGGAGTGTGTGGAGCAGTTACAGCTGGAAGACCGGGTTCTCTGCCTCCACAGTAGATGGCGAATCCTCTATGCAGGACTGGCAAATGGCACTGTGGTCACCTTCAACATAAAGGTTAGTGGTTGGAGGAGAGAAGGTGGAATTCCTGTGTCACTTGAAAATGATGTGAGCTTATGTAGGAGGAAGTAGAAGACATGCATTTTCCTGTTTTCTTGTATGAGAAAGCAATAAAATTGGCCTGTGTTCAAAAAGTGTTATTTTTTGATGTGAGTGAAACAAGATCCTCCCTTCTGTCTGCTCAAACCCAAATGTGCCAGGACCAAAGTATAACTCTGCTCAGCTAAGCCAGGCTTGAAGATTTGGGGCCCATTAATGAGTCACAGGCTACCCTTGTCTGTCTGATTTTAAGAATGACACCATGAAAAGTGAACTGAAATTCCTTTGAATATGACATTAATGTGGTTGGGAACTTTTTTAGAGTTTCAAGAACATGGCCTGTTCTGAAAAGTGAACTCAGTTGGGTTTACCTTCATGCCCACGTGTCATTTCTTTCCTAGTCCAAAGATAAATTGTTAATCAGGATAAAGATGATATGGGTTGAAGCTGGCAATGAGTTTATAATTCAAGGGGTTGCCCCAACTGGAATGAGAAGTGTCATGAACACAGCAAAGAGAGTTGGAATGGGAATGGCAGAGGTTGGGAAGTCAAGGACGAGGGTGAGTGATAATTTGAGTATAGGTAACAGAATTGAAAGTTTGTACTTGGCAGTGATTTTGGTTAAGTTTGTTTTGAGGTTTTCCAGTTGCCTTTACTTCATGTAGCAGTGGCTTATTTTTCAGAACAACAAACGACTTGACATCTTTGAATGCCATGGCCCTCGAGCTGTCAGCTGTCTTGCCACAGCTCAGGAAGGTGCCCGAAAGCTGTTGGTTGTGGGATCCTATGACTGCACCATTAGTGTACGTGATGCACGTAACGGACTTCTCCTCAGAACTCTGGAGGGTCACAGCAAGACCATTCTCTGCATGAAGGCAAGTATAGTGTGAGAGAACAGGTGTTGTCTAGTACATTATTTAGAACATAGCCACTTTGAAAAGAGCAGTGTGATTACAATCCTCTACATCTGGATAGAATAAGATACTATTTTTTTAAAATATATTAACTGAAAAACAATAAAAATGTATTTTATTATAGAATGTAGGTACACTCAAATGCCTTTCTAGGCATTTCATAATTATTCTGAAGAGACAACACACTCAGTAGCACATGGTCAACTCACCAGAGTACCTAGTGGTAGAGGGTAAGTTTCATTTGGGAAAAGTTGCTTGAGAAACTTAATATAATATACTTAGTTCATGCTCATCTCAAAATAGATGAAAATTAGAATTTGCCAATGTGCATTCCAAGAGGAAACTGAGAACCTTATGCTGAATCAAACTCACAGAATTTTTTTCTTTAAGGTGGTGAATGACCTTGTGTTCAGTGGCTCCAGTGATCAATCAGTCCATGCCCACAACATCCATGTAAGCCACATTGATGTAGTGTCAACAAATCTTGAATAGAAATGGTAGTTAAAGCTTGAAGCATTCCTCAGTCCTCTAGCAATTTAAATTAAGTCCTTTACCCAGTGAAAAGGTTTAATAATCCCTATTCTTAAGTTCTTGGATAATACGGAACATTAAAAATTTTGAGTTCATCAAAATTTTTAATGGGGACAGATTCAGAAGTCTGTGTAAGGTTTAGTTTAACTTGAGATGAATTGGGCATCTGAAGCTCTAAGAGTAGATATGATTTGTAGCTTAAAATAGAAACATGACAGCAACAGAGAGGTTGTGCTCAGGTCACAGAGGCAGCTGTAGTAGAATAGAAAGAACATGGACGTTGGTACCTAGGATAAATAAATCACTTCTTTGATGCTCACTGAGCTTCCTGGTCTGTCAACCTAGACATAATCCCATCTCATGGACTTGTCCAAATCCAGTGAGATGATAAAAGTAAAAGTACTTCAAAAGCTATGAAATACACGCAGATAGTATTATCGGGGCCCTTCTGTGACACTGGGCTTTCTCCATCAGCATATATTTCACACATTTTGTTTAGTAAACAAATGTTTATGGGAGTACTTCAGCTGGTACAGTAAGTACAGCTACATGTGTATACAAGTAAACTTCAGTTTGCTTCTTAGAATTATAGAATCATAAATCTCAAATGTTGGAAAGAATTTTAAAAGTCAGTCTAGTGACTTTTACCTCTCCTCTGATGCAGACAGGGGAGCTTGTGCGGATCTATAAAGGTCACAATCATGCAGTGACTGTGGTGAATATCCTGGGAAAAGTGATGGTGACTGCTTGCCTGGATAAATTTGTTCGTGTCTATGAATTACAGGTAAAATTTAAATCTAGTATTTTTAGTTGAATGATTTGGAGAGATTATCTATTTGTATTTGGTATTGATTTTTGATACAGTAAGTTTGGAGTGAGGACCAGCAATCTTCATTTTTCACATGCATACTAGATAATTATAGAGCAGCTGGTCTACAGACTAGACTTTCAGAAGCACTGCTCTGAGATATAGATAGGTAGGAAGGTAGGTAGATAAGGAGCGCTGGTGGCACAGTGGTTAAAGCATTCGGCTGCAAACCAAAAGGTCGGCAGTTTGAACTCACCAGCTGCTCCACACGAAAAAGATGAGGCAGTCTGTTTCTGTAAGAAACCCTTTGGGGCACTTTAGGGTCACTATGAGTCAGAATCAACTTGATGGCCGTGTTTTGTTTTGTTTTTTTAATAGGCATCAAAATTTAAATGATTTCTAGACTCTATTCTCTTAGAATAGACTCTGTTTTCTAATAAATGTCTAGTTTGCCTTGTATGCAGTTTTAAGTTTGAGACTTTGACCCTACTTAGTAAATGCTCTGGTGGTATAGTGGTTAAAGCATTTGGCTGCTAACCAAAAGGTGTCATTTAAACCCACCAGCCACTCCACGGAAGAAAGATGCAGCAGTCTGTTTCTGTAAGGATTTATAGCCTTGGAAACCCAACTGGGGTCACTATGAGTTGGAATCAACTTGATGGTAGTGAGTTTTTTTTTTTTTTGGTTTAGTGATTGGTCTTATTATTTCTAATTACAAGCTACCCCTCTGAAGAGGGAGACTTATTAGAAAGATTGCCATTAGATTATATTTCCATTAGAATAGTTAATGTCTTAGTTATTGCAGCCAAATGCTTAGTTTTAAACCTGCCCAGGGCCCTCCGAAACAATGCTTATTATCACAAGTATAAATAACTTTAGATGTTTGGCTTTTTTTTTTCTCTGCCTCAGTCTCATGATCGATTGCAAGTTTATGGAGGACACAAAGACATGATCATGTGTATGACCATCCATAAAAGTATGGTGAGTATTATTTGCCATGTCAAATACTTGTTTTTGAATGTATTTACTAAAAATTCTACAAACTAATAAAACTGTTACTACCTGTCACTTCCAAAAGTGACATCTATTCTGGTGTGCCTCTTTATTGAATGCCTTCCTATCTCTTGGTATAATAACAGTGAGAACATTTTGTTTTCTCCTAATAGCTAAAATAATTACAATGAAAATCTAATAACCACCATTCAATAATGGTACTTAAGATGCTATAGAAAATGGAATGGTGGTTTTTCCAGAGACATTATGATCTGAGTAGAACATTGGAATGGAGTTGGGAGATTTGGCTAGTGTGGCATAATTAGTGGCAGACCTAAAAGTAGAAGCTAACTCACTTAACCCTGCTAAGCCTTGATTTATTTTATTTTTAAATTATGGGGTCAAACTAAAATGGATGTTTTCAAACTGAGCAGAACCCTATGTTCCAGTGAAATACAGAAGCCTAATGCCACAACTGTACCAGTTAGAGTATAAAGGGGAGCTTCTCACCCTACTACTCTTGCCTTAAGCTGTGGCCCCAAGAATGGCTCTAAGGAGCACAGTTTAAAAGTGCCTAGATTAGAAGATCTACAAAATACTTTGCTATTCTAGGACTCTGGAGCTGATTTCAGTTTAGATTAGCTTGTTACCTTCTTATACTTGCTGTAACTAGCTTTTGACTTGTGCTTGGAGGGTGTTTTCTCTTTGTTTTTCCTCAGTGCTGTTTTGGTCTGATATGATTAACTCTTTCTCCAGATCTATACTGGCTGTTATGATGGCAGTATTCAGGCCGTGAGGCTAAATCTGATGCAGAATTACCGCTGTTGGGTAAGGAGTGAAACTGTGCTTGCCACCAGACGTAGGAATTGCTAACCCTAGGCTAATTTGTAGATTTTTCTTATTGTCAGTTTAGCATTTTCATATTTGAGTATCTTCTTTATGCCTTTCAGTGTAGAACAAAGAAGTTTAATTTTTAAAGCCACATCGAAAATGCTTTTATATTTCTTTTAATGAAAAGTCTATTTTAAGACAAAAAACTCAACTCATTGCCGTCGAGTTGGTTCCCATTCATAGCGACCCTCCTTGGATTTCTGAGGTAGTATCTCTATGGAAGTAGCTTGCCCAATCTTTCTTCCAAGGAGTAGCTGGTGGGTTTGAACCGCCAACCTTCTGGTTAACAGTCAAATGCTGTAGGCACTATGCCACCACAGCTCCCATTTTAAGACAGGTATATTAAAAAAAAAAAAAAAAAAAGACAAGTATATTTAAATATGGTCTACTCAAAGGTTGTCTCCTATGTGATTTTTTTTTTTTAACTGCTTACAAAAATATCAATAATACAGAAGTCAAGAATAAAAAATGGAAGTGCTTATTTTCATGACCTGCCTGCCCCCTATATTACACCCATTCCTTAGGGATTACAAATATTAATAGTTTTGTGTTTATCCTTGTCTAGGAGAATAAAATTTGCAGTCTTGGAGTCTTAAACTAACTCAGTTCACTGGGCTAAAATTCATCGTTTGATTTTGGGGTGGGGACTGGTGATTAACTCTCAAAACTCTCATACTGTTCCTTATAAATACACATTGCTTTGTTTCATCAGTTCCAATATTAGTAGTGTCCAGAGAAGTTTATGGCACTGATCTTTTTCCGCCTAAACTCCTAACCTGTTCAGCATTGATGGAATAAACTCAACACTCTATTTTTAAATTGCTTTTCAGGCTTCTCTAGAGCCTAAATCCTTTTCAGTATTTATTTTTATACTTTCCTGTCTTTGTTTACTCTTCTCAATAAAGGCAAACAAAATCTAGTACAACAGGATCCAGAATACACAAATAGAGAATCAATCTATATAGAAAAATGGGGGAATACTTTCTGGTTTTAAAGAGGGAAAACTTAAATTTGCATTACTCTTTAGTAGTGACCATGTTAGTGTCACAAGGTTGATTACAAACAAGCCGGTAGGGAAAAAGCCAGTACAAAGTGGCTTTATACTTTCTGACTAAGAAGTGAAATTGAACCACTTAACGTACAGTTATAGTCTAAAATTAAGAAGGTAATCACAAGATTGTGATTAAACTGATAAAGATTTTATATAAAGCTCACTTTCCATAGTAAACATCATTTATTCCTACAAGTGTCATTTGTTTTATTAGACATTTATGTTTTCAGATCTGTAAGTCAGTAGTTTTTCACATTTCTAAGAAATAACCCTTCCAGTAGTATAGGAAAGTTCCTTGCCTTTTTTAATAAGTGGACTGAGACAAACTCAATTTTACAATGAGAAGAAATAGAATAAAGTATGGTTTAAACTGAATTTTATGGTAAGTCATAAATATTGTTTCCTTATCTAACAAATCAAGTTTTCCAGTTTTTCCAGGGTTTCTCTTTATATTGATAGCTAATTTGGTTATTTCTAGCTTTGTTACATTTTCTAGCAAAGAATAAATTAAAGAAGTAGCATCTTACTTTCTGCTTCCACAATACTTATGGGAAAAAAGTGAGGAAAGTTCTTACTTCACATTTCTGTACTTTTTAACTGAGTCCTCTTGTTGTTTTTCTCTTCAGTGGCATGGTTGCTCTCTAATATTTGGTGTCATAGATCATTTGAAACAACACTTGCTGACTGACCACACTAATCCAAACTTTCAGACTCTGAAATGTCGCTGGAAGAACTGTGATGCTTTTTTCACTGCTAGGAAAGGATCCAAACAGGTATGTTAGTGAGACTCAGGGTTAACCTAGGTATATCTATAATACACTGGTTGAACAGGGGTCTGCAGACTATAGCCAGTGGGACAGGTCTGGCCCTCTGTCTGTTTTCATAAATGAAAGTTTATTGAAATACATCCACACCAATTTGTTCATACATTATCTGTGGTTGTTTTTGTGCTAGGTGCAACAGATAATATATGGCCCTCAAAGCCTAAATTATTTCCTATCTATTTACAGAAAAGTTTGCTAACCCCTGGCTTAGAAGATAATTTGGTTGAATCCCACAGTTTGGACAAGTTGGTTGATTCTTGAATACATTCTAGGTATCACTTTAAGGGAAAAGATTTTTAGATTACCAGACACAGTTCTTTTCTGTTCCCCTTTCACAATTGAGCTATCTAGGGATATACTTTGTCTAAATAAATAATTGAGACAAAGCCCAAGAGGCTCTCAAATTCTTTTGCTTTATCAGAATACTCAGAATTGCAGCCAATAGGGAGGCCTAGGCATTTTTCTTTTTAGGAAAGAAGTTGGTATTGGTAACGAGGTTTAGAAGGATGAATTGGGTAGTTTTGAGTTTTGGGTAAAGAGCCTAAAAAGAATGGTTTTGTATGTTTTAAATCCAGTATCAGAATCCAGAGGTTTATTAGAATGCCTTATGTTTAGACAACTCATTTTTAAATGTGTAGATTTATGTAAATTAGCAAAGTGTGGGCTCATAGCTGTCTTTTACCTATAAATCCTATTTAGAATGTTCCCATAGAGTTTTCCTTGGCTTTGACTTTCTCCTGCCCTACTACCAACTTTTCTTCATGGGTCTTTTTTTCCTTTATCCCTAGGATGCTTCAGGACACATTGAACGGCATGCTGAAGATGATAGCAAAATTGATTCATGAAGTTTTTTGCCTCCCATGTTGGGATGTCATTAATTTGACTCTTTTCACATCAGCCCCTCACACAAGCCTTTCTCCTCCCTTCTCCAGTGAAGCAGGGAAGGAGAAAGTGGTGATCATGCCAGACTTTCCAAAAACATAAGTCTGGGCAGCTCTATGGAATGATAAGTTCCACTTTAAGTTCTTGCTGGAGGTTTGTCAGATTTAAACAGATTTTAAAGAGTTTTACTCCTCTGGGGCAGTATGGCATAGTGACTTATGCTACTAGTGTCCTCCAGATGTTTATTAAAGATAACGATCTTAATTGGTTATCCTAATCACACATAGACTTCATTGATTTTCAACTTGTGAGTTCTAGTTTATATTTTTATAATGGTTTAAACCTGTAGTCAGGCTTTTAAGTACAAATTTGCTCAAATGTTAGGTTTTCAGAATCAGTTTTAATTTCACCAGTTGTAACAACTGGATATTAAAATTGGAAGCCAGTAGTTTCCTCTCTTAACAATTATGTGCAGTGTGTTTCAATAATCTCTTGTATTGTAGATGGACAGAGCTAGGTTCAAATGCTAGGACATGTAGTAGTAGATTTTAACAGCTAGAACAGCTGCTCGGCTGATTATATTTCAGGATTCAAAAAGTAAATTACATAGTGAGAGGTCTTTATAGACAGCACTTCCTAGGGAACTTCTGCAAATATTAATAGAGTGCTCAGTGCAAAGCAGTGCACAGACCTCATGTCTGGCATTACGTTTTGCTATTGATCTGGGCACTCACTGCTGCAGGTACTGTCAGGCTGGTTGCACTGGAGCTGTAGCCTTCATCTCCCTTTCCAGTTTCTGACTCTCCAAGCCTGCTGTGGGTTTGAAACCTGATTTGCTCCATTGCCAAGCCCTGTCTCCCCCACTGTCTGCCTGTCCTGGAGTGATGGCAGCCATCAAGTATTTCCTCTGGACTCACAGAGTATTTTACGCCCACCTACAGCACTCAAGAGTTAGGGAGTTAGGATGGAGCCTGGATACAGTTTTTAGAGCCTTATACAGGCTTCTTAGAGACTTACCTCTGGAAACCATTGTCTCTGCCTTCACTGTCCAGCTAGCTAGGAGAGAAGAATAGAGTATAATGAAAGTCAAGAATCTGTCTGACCGTGTTGAGCAACCAGATGAATGATGCCTCAGTGGAACTGCTTTCTTTTTAAATTTTCTCTGGACTTGTATCAGTAAAGCTGTAGAAGTGTTGCTTTCTAGCCTTTTGTTTTTGGATCCTCTAAACTCAGAAGATTCTTCAGAGAGAAAGATGGGAGAAGAGCCTAGTGCCACATGGCAAGCTTCATGGTGTGAAGCCTGTTGTTTTCTAGAATTGCAGAATGTCTGGGTTCATCCTCATCCCTGTTAGTGCACACACATCTACTCACATGTCTTTGCTCAGATTCTAGGGCAGTTCATTGGATAGGTTTCAAGAGGGGCCATGAACCCCCTGGGATTATATGTGTCCTTTTTTTCAAGGAAATGCTGCATTGGTTCTTACTGGATTCAAAAACTGTTAACTAATCTAGGAGCTACTACTAAATAATAAAAGGCCCCACAAATGATTTAATACTGTTCTTGTAAATGGGGAAACTCTTAACTACATTGTTGAGATGTGTATGGTGTGTATGATGCTTATGAGAACAGAGAAGATTCTATTGCATAAAGCGTGTTTGTGCTGTTTCTGTATGAAATTATGTCCCAAACCTACTTCCTTTAAGGGTTACCAGAGAAACCAAGCTGTCTTTGTGTTTGGGAGTGGTAATTTCCCATGAAAATACCTTTGGACTTATTGGTAATCCTGGACTTTTTTGCTGGGCTGTGGTGGAACCACATTTCCACATTGGCTGGGCAGTGTGAGCCTTGAATGCTCTGTTGCATAGGTGCCCTTCTGTCTCGACTGAAGTGATGAGAGTGTCTGAAGTGATGAGAGTGGTGGAGCCTTTGTACAACAGGGAGGAGTATGTGAAGTATTGGGCAGTTGTAGAGGAATTTTTGAGGGTATTAACAGATTGATAGAATCAATAAGGGCTGTGACTTAGGTTTAACTTGGGGAGATTCGTGTGTGCTCTGTCTGCTTCTGTGTGTGCACATATGAAAGTTCTTTTGTGTGTATACATATGGGTACCTATATTATAATATTTTTCCTCATTTCACTAAAGTTTTTGTTTGAAGCAATGGCAGAAACATCTTTGTTTCAAGAACACGTGGAATTCTTTGAACACCAGGTTAGTGTGTTATCCAAAATGCACTGTTTTAGCTGTTTAGAAATAAAGGTACCATAAGCATCTTGGCTGCTTATGGTATGATTACTTTGAAGTGTCTTAAAAGTTACTGAGAGCTCTATTTTTAAAGTCTTCCACAATGTCGTGACTGATTCTAGCCCTCTGCTTCTCCTTAGAGAAGAGCTGTGGCTCAGGGATTTGTGTTGACTCTGTATTTAGTACCTTAATGAAGGAAGGATACTTAAATTTCTTGATAAAAACCTACTCATTTCATATAAGTAGCTGGAGGACATTTTTAGAATGTTGTTTTAATTGCCTGTGCCCACTTTTAAAGGCCAGAAGCCAAGAAAACTAGCATAAATCCTTTGGTGTGCATATGTTAGTTTTCTTGGCAGTTTGTTCTGATAAAATAACCAGTTACTTCAAGTTTTATGCTTAAGTTTTTTTAAAATAGGGCCAAAAGTATATTTTGGCATACTCCACTACTTAGTTATAAAGTAATCAAATACAATGAAAACACATCTATAAGAGCAAAGAGTTATCTCCACTGGATGTTATTCAGATTTGAGAAGAAGTCATTGCTCCTACACTCCTCACAAGGGTTAACAGTTCAGTGTGGACCTACCTATGCTGTATGGGCAGTATTATTGCTATATAAGTGATTGTTTGCCTAGCAAAGGGTTTTTTTTAAAATCATTTTTTTTTAAGATTTTCAAAAGCCAGAGTTTATTAGTATTTAAAAACAATGCTCAAGAAACTCAAAATTTCAAGGCCACAGATAGCAGGTTCAGTAGACAGTTATAGCCAAGTGATGGAGGTGGGTTCCTCTATCATCAAGGACCCTGAATTTTGTTGAGTGCTTCCCTCCTTGGTGCTGCTCGTCTTGGTCTCATGGTTCTCCGCATGTTCTGGTTCATCCCACACTGGGCTATCACTCCATTAAGGACAGCATAAAAGATTTCCATGACTATCATTGTTATTGCAGAAAAGAAAACCACAAAGTCAGAGGAATCACACAAAATGACAATGATTCCCAGAGCCATGGTCCCTAACCCCATGCAGGTAACAAGCAAGAATTCAGAGTGAAACAACTATAAGGGCTCTTCTGGTCATTGTCTTTGTAGAGTGGTCTCCAGATTATGAATTTGTATTGTTGGAATATCATGCTTTTTTTGCTGGTATAAAAGTCAGCTTTGTAGGAAGAATAAAATATATCAAAAGCAGTTTCTCCAAAACAGCCTTGAGATGAATTGTCCTTAAGATGAAAGGCTCAAGAGTTCTTGTTTTTGAAGTTTATACAATGGACAACTTTAGTGACTAGGCATGTGGATAATTTGGTGGGGGTAGGTGTACACTTAGTGGATTGGTATGGTATTTTTTTTATGGAGGGAATTCATTAGAGAGCAGATTGACATATACTGAGAAGTAGGATTTCAGTAGCACTGTACCCTCTGGTTTGCTTAGATAACTGCAATTTAAATACGCTTACTTGAAAATTTTATTCTCATTACCTAAAGGAGAGTTTGTAGAGCTGTTGTGAAGGCCATGCCTGACATACTTAGGAACATTGCTTTCATCCCTGCCCCACATCATCAGGATCCTCAGAGTTTAAGAAAAGAAATCTAATGGATAGGAATAGATCCTGTAGTGGAGGTGAGTTGGGTCCTGCTGAGTTCCATATGCAACTGGATATGAGCTCCTCATGTAAACCAAACCTGTTACTTACCTGACAATATCCTTTAACCTTACCTCCAACCCCCAAGTAAATGGCCCAGCTGGGTCTCATGGTGACTAAAGTTCCCCAGATCCTCCCTAAATTCAAGGTAGTAGCTCATTGAACTGGGAGAGGAGGGGCTCGAGGAGGAAGGGCTGTTGAAGATTTTTCTCCTGTTTAAGAGAAATATATGCCCTAGAGCTGCTCCAGCATCCTGGTTTCAGAACTTTTTTTTTTTTTTTTTAATATATTGAATATGGATTTAGAAGAATAAAAGCAGATGATACTTAATTGCAAAAAATGTTTATAAGCAAATAGCTTAGCCTTCTTACATTTTGGTATAAAGCTGTGAACTTCATAACTTTGTAAAATGAGATATAAAGCAAATACAAGAGGAAAATAAAGTACTTTTACTAATTGCTTGTCAGCTTTTCTTATCTTGTCTGCATATTTGTAGCCAACCCTTTCTCTTCCATGCTGATATAAAAAGCAAGAAGAAACTGGATGGAAAATGTAAGAGAGTTATAGATAAGCTGTAGTCCATGGTCCAGATGAGTATGGCAAACAACTGTATGTAAGAATATTTTGTTCAAGCTCATGCAGGAGGTCAGGTAGTTAGTGGAGGAGCTAGAATTAAAAACTGCATCTCTTCTCTTCTCCATTCCACTCAGGTAACTGGCCCCTCCAGTTACAGGTGACCCATTCTACACCAACAGCCGTTCCTCTTGTTCATATGCTTAGACAATGTCTGAATGATTCCTATGCTCAAGAAATAGACATAATTAAAGTAGGGTTTGAGTTCTGGGTTTTTTGAATTTTTCAGAGAGGGTGTTTTTTCCATTGTTCTATCCTGAAACTGATAAGTGAATATAAGATTGGAAGCCATTCAGTATCTTGCTAAGGCAGGTATCTAAATGTGAGAAAATTAAACACAATGAAACTAGCCATACACATGTCTTTATTTAGATCAACTTTTTTCAGAATGCAGCCAAACTTATGAGTCAGACAACCCAAAGTAGCCAGTCTTGTTCCACCGAGTTAGTTTACCCAAGAGCAGATCTATTCTGAGACAATTAGGCAGACCCAGTGATAGTTTGGTTACTGTCCCATAGTTGGGATAGCATAAAGGTGATAGAGGGCTCCAGCACAAGGAAGTGCTGAGTGCCACTGGCAACCAGCTAACCATCCAGTGCTGTCAAATCAATTCCAATTCGTGTTGACTCCATGTGTTAGCAGAACTGTGCTCTGTAGGGTTTTTAGTGGTTGTCATCTTTTGGGAGTAGATTGCTAGGCCTTTCTTTCAAAGTACCTCTGGAAGGATTCAAACCTTTCAGTTAGTAGTTGGGTACAGTTTGCACCACCCAGGGACTGTGCCATTGGCAGTGGCCCCTGCAGACAGCTAAGGAGAGGTCAAAACTTTTGCAAGTGGTTCAAAGCCAAGTCAATTCAGATTCAGAGTAAACCTCAGAGGTACTTGCCTTCGTGTCACAAAAGGACAAAGTTGGATTCCTTTACTAAAGGATTAGGCTGAGCATGAAAGATCAACAGATGCCATGAAGCCAAGTGGGGAATGAAGTGGAAGAGGCATGAGAAATAGGCTCCTGGAGACCTGTTTGGGGTGCAGCTACTAGGTCCTTTGAGGTAAGTGGTTCTAGCAGTTTTGGGTAAAATTGAAATCCACAGTCATCCTTCATGGCCTTGGATGAGGCTGTCCTGGTTCAGGCATACATGGTGAGCTGCAGCCACTGAAAGAGCAAGTCCCAAGACCAGAATGAAAACAAAGACCCCAGCCCAAGGAATCGAACGGGGTAGGGAGAAAGAGAACAGCCTCAGCACGCCAGACACTGGGACTGTTTTCTAAGAAGCAGTGGTTTACTGCCTCCTGTCTCCCAGTCTCTTAGGAAGGTACGTGTTTTGGGAACTCAGTTTTGGGAACTGAGGCCACTTTGGAGCCTTCCCCCAGTACGTGTTCCTGTGAGCCATAATCCCTGCTGGGCTTCCCTTCTCTAGACTCCTCTCCCATCCTGTCCTCCACCACCATTGGAGAGTGATGAGCACACAGTTCACTGACCCATCCCTCTTGAATCTTAAGTGCAGGGCATGTGCTACCTGTGCATACTTTACCTCTAGAACATTGAGCTTGATGACACCATCCCCATCCTTGTCAAATGCATGGAAAGCTCCTGTGGGAAGAAGGCACAAGCTGGAGGCCAGTTAGAGGCTCACCCTGCCTCCACTACTGTAACTTTTCTTAGAAGGGCTGGCCATGTGCTAAGTGCTGCCCTACAGCAAAAATATCTGCCAGGCACAGTA